ATTGTATGCTATAGAAGAAGATGAGCTAGCACTCATGGTAATGATGGGAGACCATATCGATTATGAGAATGATTGGATCATTGATTCAGGATACTCAAACCACATGATTGACGATCAAAGTGGTGCAATGGAAGAGGGGTGGCCCTTAGAGAAGGAAGTATTACCAGGCCTTGAGCAAATCGAAGAAATTCTTCTAACAGGAGAGCAAACTGAAGCGATTCTTCCACAGAAGACGGGGGAGCAAACTGTACACAATTGCTTCAGTGCTGATGTGCCTGAAGACTCAAGTGACACTAGTGTTGGTGAGCAAGAAGTGACTCAACCAAACGAACCTAGTGAGAAACAAAGGACACCTCAACAAGTAAGACAGTTAGAAAAAATCCAAAAGCCAAGTCTAGAGTATGCCAACGAAACTGCAGTAGAAGACGAAGTTAATGAGCCGAAGACATATGAAGAAGCATCACAAAACTCAACTTGACAGAAAACGATGGAGGAAGAAATTATAGCCCTAGAACAAAATCAAACTTGGGAATCAGTTTCAAGACCAAGCAATACCAAACTCATCTCTTGCAAGTGTGCTTACGAAATAACGTGTCTCTCGAATGGAACAATCGAAAGATACAAGACTCAACCTATAGCTCGAGGGTTCTCTCAAGAATATAGACTAGACTATGATGAAACGTTTAGTCCAGTGGCAAAGATTATTATCATACAAGTTCCTCCAGTACTTGCGGTAAATAAAGATTGAAAACTATGGCAGATGGATATGAATAATGTCTTCTTGCATGGAGAGTTGGACCGGGAGATCTACATGAACCAACCAAATGTATTTGAGAATGAAGTTGGAGTCATTAGTCAATACATGCGAAGTCTGAAGAAGCTTCCTTTGGATGCGGCTCAATGGACCTTGAGATATGTCAAACAATATCACAATACTCGAAGGTCAAGTATTGGGTATGTATTCAAGCTCAATTCGAAAACAATCTTTTGGTATAGAAAAAGACAACCAACAGTATCATGTCTATTAGAGAAACAGAGTACAAAGCAGCTACTAGAGCAACTCAGGAAAGTATATTGCTGAAACTCTTGATGAAAGATTGGCACCAGAAAATTGACTATCCAATACCACTTCATTGCAACAATCAATCTGCGATTCGTCTAGCAGAAAATTCGATGTTTCATGCTAGAACAAAGCATGTGGAGGTACACTACCATTTCATTAAAGAGAGTCTTGAAAGAAGAAATCGAGATGCAGCATATCAAGACAGATGATCAAATGGCATACTTGTTTACAAAAGGATTGAATACTGGCAAACATGAGAGTTTTCGCTGTCAACTCAACATGGTGCAACGAATGAGGGCTAGTGTTGAGGGGGAGTGTTAAAATGTCATCACTAGCCCAATAGAATTAAGCCCAACCATGGTATGAATAATTATATTTATGATTTAGGATTTTAGAAATAAATTTAGGAAAATGATTTAGGAATTTTAGGAGAAAGGTTGAGAAATTTTAGGAATAGATTAACTAGCTTAGTATAAATACACCTCCATCCTACTTAGTTCATCATCCCAAGAAATTACAAACAATACAAAGGAAAAGGAGTAGTTTCTACCGAGTATCTTGTAAATCTCTTCTCGATTGTTCTTAATAAAGTGTGTGAGTGTTTCCCACAAAGAAATGTGTTCAACACATGTTATTCTCTATTTCATGTAACCCATGCCTTACATAAAACAGTCAATATCATGACTAATCATATATCAACATTCATTCATCACATAATCATTCATTTCATAGTTCTTAATTTAAAACATTATTGTACATGTGATTCATCCATCAAGTAATTCATTCAACCCATCGACATTCAATAATAAGCTTAATCTAATAGTTTTATGCTCTCGTTTGCTGATTGTTACCTAGGTTAAACCCAAACTAAGTTGATTAAAGCATAAGGTAAATTTTTGCAATGCGACTGGGCTAAATCAATGGGGTAAAAAGACAACAAAATTTTCGCGAAATAAAACAAAGAGAATTTAAAATATAATATACCATATAGTTATATTATATCAAAATAGAGTTCATACATAAGTAGTTAAAATACAAAATAAGGAACGGACACAAAATATTTAACAACAAAAGGAGTTGAGGACGACGATTGAGGCTTGTCTATGGCACCTGATCTAGAGTTCGCTCCCAACCTCAACCAACTCCTTGTATCCTGGGTTTCATGCATTCCCTACAATACAGCCTAAAAACTCATGCTCAAAGCTTCATGCATTTCAAGTGGCATACTCTGAATACCTACACTCAAGGCTTCTTACGTTCTAAGCAGCGTAGTTTGAAAACTTACATCCAAGGCTTCTTACGTTCCAAGCAGCGTAGTATGAACCCGCATCCAAGATTTCATGCCTTTCTTGAGAAATGACCTGAATATCTATGCTCAAAGCTTCATACGTTCCAAGTGGCATAGTCTGAATAACTACACTTAAGGTTTCATACGTTCTAAGCAGCGTAGTCTTAAACCTACATCTAAGGATTCTTACGTTCCAAGCGATGTAGTCTGAACCCGCATCCAGGGTTTCATATGTTCCCTGCGATACGGTCTGAAAACCTATACCCAAGGTTTCATACGTTCCAAACGGCATAGTCCGAATAACTATGCTCAAGGTTTCTTACCTTCCAAGCAGCGTAGTCTGAAAACCTACATCCAATCTTCTTATGTTCCAAGTGATGTAGTTTGAGTCATGAACATAATGTACCGTGGGAGGTCTAAGAGTTTCTTGAGTTTCTAGGTCTGAGGACCTTGGTCCCTTATCCTTGAGTGATTCCTAGCATTCTTTTATCTTAATATATGTCGTGCTTGTGTGCTATTTTCTTAGTTCTCAATCTTAAAACATTCTATAAATTTATAAAGTACTTGAAGCATAAGTCGTATCTTGAGCCTCACGTAACTTACAGTAACATGCCTGAGTCATTTTAAGTGTTTAGATTTCAAACTTGTCTGATCAACTTAAATCTTTATTAAACTTTATGTCCTTGAGAATAGGCAAAAGTAGTAAGTCATTTTGGAGGATGTTTAGTCTTGAGGTAACTTAAAAGTCCTATGAGCATTTTGGTTCTTTTACTCTCTAATTCTTGGTTTTGACTCTTATTAAGGATATTTAGTAATAAATTATAGTTTACTATATATATTATATTTAATATTTTATTATAAGGCAAATATCTAATATTTGCCTTATTATCACAGTATCTTTCCATTTATTGTTATTTCCATTTATTACTATTTTCATATCCTTGTAATTTATTTGATTATAAATAAGATAACTTTCACACCATTTAGGTGTGGTGGATTAATCAAACATTCACAACTCTAAATGCATTTCAATAAATTCTCAACTTTACCAACTCCTCAATCATCATAAGATAAGGCCTATCACAAAGTTTTATAGAAAGATAAGTTACCTTAGAGTCATTGGGGTCATTTTACACCGTTACTTCTTAACTTTGTCTAATGACCACTAAACTTTATATATAATCTTACCATGTCATAATATACTCAAAATTAAAACCTCAAGGTAGCAAAGTATATTTAGTAGGTCATTTTAACTTTACTAAGTTTCCGGTGTTTTTCCATAATATTTCCTTAATACTTGGTTTAAGGTGCATACTAAAATCATTCCTCAAAATATTTATTAAGAAAAGTTCAAGGTGGCTACTTACCTCAATGTTGAGGTTCGGGTTCGCGGTTCTAAAGCTTCCGGTATCCAAATTGCTTCAAATATTCTTTATTAGATTATCTTTGAGTCTAGTTTCAAAATCCATAAAAATTTGAGAAAAATTGGGGAAGATCAAATTTTGGGTTGATAGTTTAACCGGTCACGTCATCATCTTCTTCCTTCCAGAAGAAGATGCCCGTGGGCGTTTGCATCACTACCTGAAAACGTGCCTCTTAGCTCTGTTTAAAGCATTTATCCCCTCAATTTCTTCATAAAACTTAAAGATGGTGTAACAAGGAAGAGCTAGAGATTGATTTTATATCTTGTCATAGATCGTATCTCGAGTTATAACCTTCCAAAGTAAACATGTTTTTATTGGTGGGAACGTTTTAGACCTTATCAATCTCCAATTGCTTCATGAAACTTAGTTGAAAAAAGTGGCATTTTCATAATTCGAGAAACTTCAAAACATTTTTGTAAATTACCACTTTTTGTTATTTTATTATTATTTTTCTGAAAAATATAATCTATTTATAATAACTATGATTATTTATTAAGGTATTGAAATGACTTAATTCTAATAAAAGAATGACCTTACGTCAAAAACCCAACCCAAAACTAATCCTTTTCTTTTTCTTTTTTTTCTATTTTTACCTTTTGAACTATAGATTCTAGTTACCCACAATCTATTTATGCATAAGAACTCTCCACGCCACTCATTTAACAACATTTGTGCGTGGATATATATATATAAACCTTCAAATTTGACTTCTTAATAGGAGTTCCCATAATTTAGCGATGCCACTACTAAAAAATTATACAGTGAGCTGTTGAGAGGTAGCAGGCAACCAAAATGGTGTCTATAGAAACATGAAATATCTTAAGGCTATCCATTTCGACACAAACATCGTTTCACCGTCACCGTGGTTCACCATAACGTTCTTTTCGTCATAATATGGGACTTCGACACACAACGATCTTTCAAATATAGCAACAAAAGGCACGCACACCCCATGTTTTTTCCCCTTCTAACAGGAATATATGGAACAAATACAAAATGATATTTCAGCATCATCCCTAACCTGCAACGCCACAACATCAATGCTTGCCCTGCGCCTCCTCCCACATGCTCTCCTAAGCCACTACCTGCAGATCCTGTAAAGCCAATCATCCTACACAGTGGACCATATTAACCTGTACAGAAATTTCATGGTCACATCTTAGCTTGGCAACCTTAGAAGCAGGGAAACCTGAGCCTGCCAAACTTAGATAATCATCAGTTCACATTTTTTTTTTTTTAATATCAACAGAAAGGTAACGCAAAGGGAAAAGAAACCGTAATATGATAACGTGATCGTTCACAAGTCCTCATGAGCAGCAGTCTTAATCCCTGACTGTAACATCATTATACATATTTGCTATCAAATAAAAGATATTAGAAGAATGCATACGTGCAATTGATGCATGGTAACAAGAAGAAATCACTGCCAAGAAAAAGTGTGACAAAAAATTGGCTTTAAATTTTTTCTGTAGTTATAATGCCTTTCTAGATCGACTCCAATAGCTTAACTGTAGAACCTTCTGGTAAGCTAGATGGTTTCCTTCTACACATTGTCAACTGACCACACATCAAAGGGTAAAAAAATCACATCAAATAGGGGATAAGAACACACTCAAGTATCATGGTCTTGTTAGCACCAATTCGTGTGTTCTATCTTGTCAGTGGTTCTCCCTTTCATCTCTTTTTCTAATTTTTTTTTTTTTTTTTAAATTCTCTAAGCTGGACATGTACCTGAACAATCCACTTTAAGAAAACTTGCTGTTATCCACTCTAAGAGCCAAAGAAAAGATCACAGAGAGGTTATGGAAATCAGATCACTAGATACCAGCAGACCACTGACGAATTGGGATAAGAGTACTAAGGAAATTTTAATAAACGAATGCAAAACCTCAAGCAGAAACTTCGGTAGTAGTACCTAAGTTTAGGTAAAACAGATCAGTAACCATAGCCTTGCTCAGGAGGCTGCTGCTGCTGCTGCTGCTGCTGCTTATAGCCACAGGTCTGATTTTCATACTGTACATCACCATTGTAACTTTTTTCATGGCTATGTTCGTTGCCATCAGAATTAGCATTATTATAATTTTCTTGCTCTTTTTCTCTGTTCCACTGCTCAATTTTAGCACGCCTCTCTTCACTCTCTTCTCTGACTGGACTTCGATTTTTCCTTCCTCGTGGGCTACGGCTTCTGCTTCCTCTATGACCAGGGCTTGTACTCCTATGCCTCCTATTTCGACTATCATGATAAGCATCTCTCTCATCATACCTCCGACTATGACCATGCCGACCATAATGGCGTTCTTCATAACTCCGATGCCTATAGGGGCTGCGGCTTCTACTCCTACTGTGACCCCGCCTTCGATGATAACTTGCAAACAGTTCATGCCTCAGCTCTCTGCAAGACAGGAAAAGATCATGGCTATCAAATGAAGTACACATAGCTTGCATCTTAGAGGGAAAAAATGGAGGTGGTGAAGAAAATATACCGACTGATCCTCTTCAAATGCATGAAATTGCAATATCCACCACGATTACACATGTTCTCTTCATATTGCCTACATGTAGCTTCTCTAAAGTCTGTAACTGGAGAGAAATCAACAATGATCGGACGTCCTGGAGAGAAATAGTTTTCCATTATGTTACACATTCAATTTTAAGATCAAAAGCTGAATACAAATAGTATAAACACAATGAAAAAACATAAAACCAAGAATGACAAAAGAGAGAAATAATGGAAATGGGAGCAGGGGCAGGAAACTCCAACTAACCAGCATAGAATCTTCCACTAAGATTCCGAAGAGCATTTGCAGCTTGTTCCTCCTCTTGAAATTGAACATAAACATTGCCCACCTAATCAAATGCATCAGATAACTACTCATTAGCTATTCTACAATGAAAGGCTGATTGGAAAATCAGTTTCCTTCAAACAATGGGCTAAGATGAAAGTATTACCATATGGTCAGCTAGATTGTCACAAACATTCAAACTTTCAATCTCCCCGTACTTGTTCAGTTCCTGAAATAGGTCCTCATAGAACTCCTGGAATATGCACAGATCAACAATTAAACTACAATTCTTCTAAGCGCAACAAGAAACAACCAACCCAACGTGATTATTCAAAATAACAGAATTTACAAACCACACCAAGAGCATAAAGAATGAAATTAAGACACAAAAAATCAACAAACAATATCTTACTCTATCGAAGATAGCACGGTCGTTTGAAAATCAACCAAACTAAACCATCTCTAAGATAACAGCAAGATTATGATAAAACAATCAGATAATAACAATCCAACCTCATAAAAGTCGGAATTCAACCCCCCAACCACCCCCCAAAAAATGTTCATAATTCATGATAAAAATGCGTAGTAGCGAAATATGCTAGAAGATTGAAAAGATCAACATATGCACTAGCAAGCAAACACGGGAATCAAAAACAAGCTCTACCTCAAAATGGTCCTGGATCTTGCGAGGGTCAATCGGATTCCCCTGCGCGTCGACACCAGGGGTAATCATGTCGGGTCTCTGATACATATTAGAAAGCAAAAGCGTGGGGCTTATACTAGGCTTCGTATGCAACCGTGAACACCTATCACCATGTCGGCAGGCCCCGATCTTGAAGTAGAAGGGACAGTTAACCCTATCCTTCTCCGTCCCGAATATGGAAGCCAAATGCTCCGCCATTACGCCTCACGGATCTCAGTAACACCAATGATTGTTCGTTCGAATTCTTCCCCGTCTCTCTCAGACACCGAATGAGAAATCGCAGATCCCCACAAATTTGGAAAATCAAACTGGCAAGGGTTGAGGATGAGTGAGAGAGAGGAAAAAATGTGGCGTTTCGATGAGGAAAAAACTGAATTTAGCGAGAAGAAGGGGTCCCCTTCTCCCTTCCTCTAGAATGTTCATGGAAAACTTCGGGGTCTAGAAGATTCGGAACCATTAATTATATTAAATAAATCCAATTAGACTCTTAATATCAAATTTATTAAATCTTTATCTTTACTTCGTTTTTTTTTTAAGGGAAAAAAATACAATAACATAAAATTAAAAAAATTATTATTTTTCTTAAATTTAATTTATTCATCTTTTCTTTTAACGTTTATGAGAAGTATTCGAGCAGAAGCTTAAAAAGAAGTGTCAATCAAGAACATACCTTGTCTCTACATTGGATCAAGAACAAGATCAGAGGATCAAAAACAACTAATTCGTATAGGGTCATTGAACCGGTCCAACCAGCAACTAGAGCTGTATACATTATATAAACAGAAAGCAAACGACCGGGATCATTCAATACAACCATATGAACACGATAACAAGGCAAACCCATGGAAATACCCTTTTATCAACGAAAAATAGACACTATGTAACTTTATTGCACTGAAAAAAACTATGCTATGGACCTCCCCCTTTGAGGTGAGGGGATTATTTTGGCGAAAGGATTAATATTTAGTCTATTCTTTTAGTAATAATGGAACAATTATATTCTATTCGTAGGAACAAAAAGAGTGACTTAATAGAAAAAGACATCAATTACAATTCTAAAGGTAATGGTTTGATCTCCCACCAAGTAATAATTGGACTAAAAAAATCTAAAAGGACGTAAGTCATGGTAATATCTAAGTTACCTGCCAATAAATCAATCAAGTTGAGGGTATCGTTTAGATTAAGCGAAGCTACTGCTTATTTGATAATTTTTTTTTTATATATATAGATATTCGGTTTGTTTTTTCACGATTTCTTTATTATATAGTCTTCATCGTTAAAGAATTATTTGACTACTTCCCCAAATTCTAAAAATAAAAACAAATTTTGGGAAGATTCTAAAAACATTGATAGAAATATGATTTATATGCTAAATTTTCCAAAAACTAAACATGAAAGATCAAAGGATTATTAAACGGGTTTAAGTAATTGAAAAACCTTTATTAAATCAAATATTAAAGAAAAATGTTTAAATAAATATAAGTTAATAGTACGGTAGATAAATTGTGTATATAGATCATGAGTAGGCTAAACCAGGTACCATGTCCATGAGCAATTAAATGAAACGAATGAGATGAATGAGCATTTCATTTCACAACGAAATTATTGGCTCGTATTTGAATAATTTAGAAAATATTCTGGTGGGCCTTTAATTTTCTTATTCCAACTCCAACAAATTGAATCTCGAGGCTTCTAATGAAGTCTTCTTCACCGAACATAGGAACATAGGACCAAAACGTGTGAGAGTAGAAAATTTCTAGAAACTAAAACTTCCCCAACAATTCTCTTATCTCTCTTTTAAAAGATATAGGAAAATCTTTACAAAAATAAAATAATGCATTTTGATATCTAATATACTAAAAAAATAAATATTTTAGTCGTTATTTTCATTTATTTTTATGTTATTTTTATTTTAAACACGATTTCAAGTCAATATAAGTTAGAAACAAACATTTGATAAGACTAAATTTAAATAAATTAATTTAAAAATCAAAGGACTAAAATGAAGAATTTTCTCTAACACACAAATTTCGACATATTTACTTCTGATCTAGAAAGTTTCCTCGCTTGACAAAAAACAACTTAGGACGTCATACTACACCAACGCTGACTATACACTTTAGCCCTGTTAGAAACAGAACTAGCTGAGCAAAAGAAGGTTGGTTTGATTAGGTGGATGATAATGAAGACGTAGACAAGAAAGTCTCGTATGAAATTCTAACACGGTTGTATAAGATAGGCATGGAAACTCTCCTATATTCAAAGATTCTCTAGGGTAGAACTTTACCGGTGCTATATAAATATAATAAGTTAGAGAAATTTCAAACCATGATGAAAATCAAAGGTCAAAGTGCAAACAGTATAAATGAAAATTGTGGCAAATACAAAGATAGGAACATTCTCAATCAACTAAAATGAGTCAAATACAATCACTTTAAGATCAAGTATTATAAAAAGACCAAAACTGTCCTAAATTTATGAATAGACATATCTTATTCTCGAGTGTAATAGCTGTCTTCATCGTGGTGATAGCTGCATCGAATAATTTCTCTTAGTAATAACAATTTTTCTAGCCAAACTAGTCTGATGAGGAAGGCCAACCGTGCAAGAGAAGGGAATTAGTCCTAGGAAATTCAGGGGGGGAAATAGAATCATTGTTCATTCCATTTCATCTAAATCTCCGAACAGTTCTTTCCAATGCGACGATGCTTCTGCTGGGGTTCGAAACGTCCAGATGTGAGATTTGGCTTTCTCTCGGCTTTCAAGGATTTCCTGCATTTAACTAAATCTTGTTACTTCTAAAGTAACCATAAAAGTAATATCTGATTGTGGAGAGACCCTAAAAAACAAGACTCGGTTCAAGGTAACAAGCTACCAAATTGTGCATTGATCTTACTCAAAACAAGTATTTAGCAACAGGGTTTTTGTTTTTCTTTGAGATAGAAAAAAAAAACATTTGAATTATCAAAAAGTAAAAACAGATAGAGAAAAAACAAGGTATTCAAACCTGCAGTCATCGGACAAGATTACCAAAAGAAAAAAAAAAATGAGAAAAAAAGTATTTCTTCTTCTTCTTTAATGTTTGATGTTGTGAGATCTCATATCGGTTAGAGAGTGGAACGAAGCATTCCTTAGAAGGGTATGGAAAACCTCTCCCTAATAAACGTGTTCCCGATATAAAACAAGTCAAGGCAGACCATATCTGCTAGCGGTGGGTTTATGCTATTACAAAAGTATGCTAAAAAAAAAGCTCATATTGGTTTGAATAAAAGATGAATAGTTAACAAATTCTTCATCAAGAGTCCATCTTCAGAAACTAAGAAACAGCCGCCTCAACATCTTTATTATTACTGGGAGTATATTAGAAAAGGCCAAAACAAGGGCTGCAAAAGAATTCATAGGAGAACTGATGTTGGAAATAAAACATGTGAAAAATTCCAGAATGTTTCCAAGAAGTAGAATAAACGATGAAACTTAGGATTACTCTCAATATTGTAAAAATCACTTATTTTGTGATCAGGACCAAAGAAAAATAAAAATCACTGTTATTTGGCATGTTTAAATTCCATAGAGTTGAGATGAGATAAGAGGCTTAGAAATTTTCCAAATATGAGCCATGTTGGGCTGCAATAGCCCACTTCTAAAGCCTAAGCATCAGTTACAAAAAGTTGTAGGCTTCAAATAAATGAAGTGCATAATGTACAAAATATTAATACTATGAAGCATGAGATAGAAAAATTCTAGGTTAAATGACAAGTACCATTCTTGAACTTTCAAGCATGTGTCTTAGAGATTACCGATTTTAAAAAGTGTTAATAAGTCCATAAACTATTAATTTTGTGACTAATAAGTCTTTGACGATAAGTTCAAAATTTTAAAAAATTAGACCTAATAGATATAAGATTAAAGTTTAAGTCTAATAGAACCATAAACTTTCAACTTTATATCCAATAATTTCGTGAATTTTAAAAAACGTGGAATAAATCAAGGCTTATTAGACATAAAATTAAAAAGTTTTGGGACTTACGAGACACAAAATAAAAAGTTCAAACACTTTTTCAAGTTTATGGAACAAATAAACGTAAAACTGAAAGTTCAAGGACTTATTCAACCCTTTTCAAAGTTTATGGACCAAATAAACATAAAACTGAAAGTTCAAGCACTTATTCAACACTTTTTAAAGTTTATTGATCGAATAGAAACCCAATTGTAGGGCCTAAATTAGTAACTTAACTAAATTCTAATACCGAGAACTTCATCGATTGGTTTGGGCTTTGTTCATTTAAGTCACAGGCATTCTAACATTTTCATGCCCTAATAAAAAAGTTCTGCATGCCTTTAACCACAAGCTTTAGAGAAAAGGCTAGAGACGGGCAGAAATTTGAGAGTGTATTGTAGAGTTTAGCTCCTCTTGTTGTATACCTTTTCATCATACTTTTTTTTCTAGAAACAAGTGTGATAATGTTTTTTGGAAATTCCTTGAGCATTCTACTAGTTGGAATCCTTCCTCCTTTCTGTGTTCTATCCATTCCATTAATGGGAAGTTAGTTTCTTATCTACAAAATTCTAGTAGACTAGCCAAAAGGACTTGAGGAGACAGCTAAAAGCTAGAAGTGGTATTTGTGTCTTACAGCTTATGGTCCAATTGAAATCTCACCGAATATTTACATATCAGGGCTAATGGAAAAAAAAACCAAATAAAGATCCACAGCAAGATTTCAGCATTTTTGAAATATATACATTATAAGAACCTGAGTGTATTTTTGTATTCGATACATACCTGAACCTCGGAAGCTCGTTTTGTCTTGAGATTTAAACAGTCAAGAAGAGATGTCCATTTGTCAGAACAGTTATCAAAAAACCCAAGCCTGTAGTATTGCTGCATCTGATGAACTGGAGCTGCCAGTAAATATAACCAGTAGATTAACAAGTTAACAATTTGGTTCAATGATGAGCTCATCGATATGAAAAAAAGAGGTCAACAATTAGCAAAAATTAGGTGCAAAGATGAGTATTAGACAGTTACAACAATGATGAGCAAATTTCAACCTAATCCTGAGCAAAATAGTTTTTGGAAGAAAAAAGAACGTAAAAACGATTCGGGTAAAATATTATTAAGACATTAAACTTCTTTAAATCCTCTTCCCCAATTGATATGGAACTTTAAAAACCTCAGTCCAATTAATTAATGGGAAACAACACAAATATACTAGTGATTAGGGAAAAGAAAACTAAGAAAATAACATAATTGAGTTGATTATAAGGATGCATACAATAGCAGAACCACAGAGCATCAAAGCAGGTGGTGCACGACAACCGCCGCCTCGATCCCATCGAGTTATCCTGCTTCTCTGGTGTTATTTTCTCTACGCCTTCCATGTTTCCCGGTTCAAA